GATCTCTTACCTGAACCTCCGGGAGTATGTTGTAGTCCTGGGTGCGGGCCTGTTGTCAAGTAACCACAGGGTGAGCTTCTCCTGTGGTGGGTGTCTGGGGCTCAAAAGCAGATGTGAGCCTCCCCAGATCGTTCCCCAATAAAACCTCCGCCGGTAACTGCGGCATCAACCCCACCTCCACATGCCCTGCCCCCGCTCCCCAATGCAAATGTACCCTTGCTGTAGGTAGCCGGTATACTGCTCCCCCGGCTACCCTGACGGCCACAGTCTTACTTAGTTTAGCTTGGTCTGAGACCAGGTGACTTTTTACCAGGGTGATGGTGGCTCCTGAGTCACGTAGCCCCTGAACCGCTTTACCCTCCAGATACACGGTCTGCCTGTGATGCTGGCGGTTGTCAGCATTAGCCTGGATGGGATCTGCCTCGTGCAGTACCTCCCACTGTTCTAACGTTGTGATGGGAACTGCTGAACCATACGGTGTGGCCACGATGTCCTGGAAGTGGTGGGCTGCGGCTGCTCTCGGTGGTGGTGGTGGGCCGGGGCGAATCCAGGTGGAACGGACCCGCAGCTGGGGGCATTCCCTTTTATAATGTCCCCATTTCTGGCAGTGGTGGCAAGGGCCCGACGTGGGCTGGCGGAAACGTGGCTGTGCAGCGGGCGGTGGGGGTGGTGGCAGTGGTCTTGGTAGAGCTGGCGTGTAGTTGTTCCCCCCAAAGGTTTTAAAAGGTACTTTTGGAGCTGCAGGTTTTTGCTGCCTGCGTGCATCCAGGTACTCGTCTGCCTTCCTGGCTGCTTCGGTAAGGGAGGTAGGGTTTCTGTCTCTTACCCACTCCTGTACCTCGCTGGTTACTCCTTCATAAAATTGCTCCAGCAGTACCATTTGCAATACATCTTCCATAGACCGTGCCTTGCTCGCTTGCACCCACCCCAAGACTGCTCGTTGTAGTCTGCATGCCCACTCTGCGTGTGAGTCTTTCTCCACCTTCTTTAAATCCCTGAATCTCCGCCGGTATGCTTCTGGTGTTATAGCATACCTGGCCAATATAATTTCTTTCACTTTGTTGTAATTCCGTATTTCTTCATTAGGTACAGTACGGTATGCCTCAGCTGCCCTCCCAGTTAACCTCCCTGCCAAAATAGGTACCCAGTCCTCTGCGCTGATTCTATGCAGTGCACACAGTCTCTCAAAATCTTGCAGGAAAGCGTCTATATCTTCCTCTGCCTCCACATAGGTTTTAAAAGCCTGGTATGGTATTTTAGGCTTACCTTCTTGTGGCATATTTACTGCAGAGCTGCGTTCTGGGGCCGCTGTTTGACTCCTCAGTATAAATTCCTGGACCTCCGTCATCGTTTTTGAAACAATCTCTGTTGGAGGGTGTTCCCCATAGAAAGACAGCCGAAATTGTACCTGCCTCTGGAACTCCCTTTGTTCCGGTGTTTCTCCCGAATTCCCCTGTTCGGGAACCGAATCGCCGTCCATTCGGTACTCCGCCATCAGTTCAGTAATGAGTACCGCTTTTGTCTTATTGCTGGCTTGTATACCCCTTGCCTCCAGAAGGTCTTTTAGCGTGGAGCGTTTTAGTGTGGCAAAATCAATCTCCATCCGTACTCCATTTAGGCTTGTTCCTCTGTGAGTCTGGATCCCAGCGCTGCCAACCAATGTAGCGGAGATGCAATATTACCCAGGTTATCTCCGCTTATAATCCAAGTGGGACTCAGGAACAAGTAAATAGTAAATCCACAGGCAAGGCTTCCAGCAGGTAAAATACAGCAATATCCCAACAGCAATCCCAATAACTGGACGACACACAGTTTCAGGAGCAAACTGAAAGCCTTTAATCACAGTCTCCTTATAAAGCATGCTCCCATGCAAGGGAGGGATTTACAGTAATTATTACAGTAGCCAATCCTGTCCTGGTAACCTCCCACACATCTCCTCCCCTCAGCCAGCATCATAATCCCCTTATCCAGCACACCAATTCCCCCCGTTTCTGGATGTACCCCTAAACGTAGGGGTACCTCTTTAAATCCTACATCCCCGGATACCCCTGATCTGGGTGACCAACATATCCAAAAATCACCCAGATCAGACCAGGGGTTCGGGAAAAGTATGGAGGGAATAAAATGACCGACCGCACGAACTGAGATAGCCGAATCCGGTTCCATGTGAATGGGCCCTGCGGTCGGTCCTGGCATAAGGGAATAAAATACACGAAAACCTCTAGCTATAGAGGCTAGGGAGGGTTCGCCTGAATCCCCTCGTTCGGTATTTTCTATCTACCGAACGAGGGGCCGTTCGGTAGTTTGGAACCGAACGGACCAGGGCTGTGGAGGTCTCAGCGGTGTTCGCCTACTCGAGTGTCCGATTTTAGTTCCAGACACTCGACGGCAAAACACCGCTGTTCGGGAGTTTTAAAATGGCCGCCGCCACGTGTTCGTTTGTCGAATGGCGGCCACCCCCGAGAACAAAGGACGGCTACTTACTGTTCAATTACCCGTTCGCAACAATGTTGCAACAGGTAATTGAGGACACACTTCACACAGGGGAGGTCTGGTTGTTCGGTAGTTTCATTCGAATAAACTAAGGGAATGAAACTACCGAACAATCAGAGGAATACAATTCTCTTTAATACATAGAAAACACAGCAGATACACGAATGCAGGTATATACAGTATATTTGTAGGGTCGCCTGGTGCTATCCGCTACATATACTATTTGAGGCAGTAGCTCAGGCAGTGTTCCGTCTACCTGCCACTGAGTGTGCTAAGTTTAACCTGTTATCTTAACACAGTTGATTTTCAGGCTAATAGCTATATCCTCATGGACATTATAGGATCATAGTGTGAACTACATTTGGATAAATACAGCCATCAGGTTAGCTTCACAGAATACCACTTCTTCCATTATTCGTTAGGCTTATATTTTCACACTCACTGTCCTAACATTTAGTATCCATTGATATTAACTCTATATACTATTTGAGGCAGTTGCTCAGAGTCATTTATATTAGTTACACTCCGAGGTCCATTTCAGTATTAATGGTGACATCCAAATTTATGTCCCTGGTCTTATTCCTTGCTTGCTATATAGCTATACCTATACCAGTACATTACAATAATTTTTTTTACACTATTTCTATATATACCACTAGAGTTATCATATCAGAGCTACATAGACCTGTGGTATATCTTTAGTATTCTTAGTGTCAATAGTGACATTTCTAGTTATCATTACTGGTATAACACCTATTACTTTGTTCACCTTTCTGTACACAAGCACCTATTTTTATATTTTTGTACTTTAGAATCAATAAAATTAATTTTTATTTTTTTGCTTTTACTAACATCAAGTTCCTAGTCTGGCAGCCATCCTGCGGTTATCCAATATTCACACCTAGTATCTTATCCACCCAGTCCCTTAACGGTATACTTTCCTTGCTTTTCAAATTGTTTTAGGGTCACAAACATGAAACCCCAACCCACCCTATCAAACGCTTTCTACGTCTATTGATAGTAAAAGTAAAGGAGTTTTAATGTTATCTGTTTCTTCTAATATGTTTTTTATTTTTCTGAGATCATTGATAGAGGACCTCTTTGGTATAAATCCCACTTGATCTTTGTTAATTGGTTGTGGTATAAATATTTTTAACCTTTCCGCCAGGACAGAAGAGAGGATTTTAATATCGGTATTAATTAACTAAATCGGTCTATAGTTACCGATCAATTCTGGGTCTTTGTCTATTTTTGGGATGGGGACTATGTTTGCTCTCAGCAACTCTCCAGGACATTGTCCTGTTCTCATTATATAATTAAAAAATGTTAGAGAGTTCTCCTTTTAGTTGTTCTTTCATTAGTTTATAAAATGTATTAGTAAAACCATCTGGACCTGGGGCCGTCTTTAATTTAATATCTATTGATTTGCTGGCCCCTATTTCTGTTATAGGTTGGTTTATCTTTTTTAATTGGTCAGGTAGGATTTTTGGCATATGTATATTTTGGAAGAATTTATCAATCTCCTCTTCCTTGCTGTATTTTTCTTCTGGTAGATTGTATAAATCCTGATAGAATTTTCCAAATGCTTTTCCTATTTTTTCTGGGGCCAATTGATAGGTTTCTTTGTCTTTTATTTGTATATTGCTCTTTTGTGTTTTTCTTTTTTAAGTTTATTGGTCATTAGTGCGTCTGGTTTATTGCCCTTTAGATACCATTTTGATTGTAGAGATTCTAACTGCTTGGCTGCCTTGTTCATTAACTGATTATTTATCTGTTTTTCTATTTCTACAATCTTCCTTGCTATTTGTATGGAGGGTGTTGTTTTATTTTGTTTTTTTTTATAATCGCTTAGTGTTATATATAACTTATGCTTTCACAAATCTCTCCCCTACTTATAAATTTAAGTGTCCCTTGTGCTCTTTCTTTTCTCCATTTCTTCTTCTTTCCTTCAGATAGCTGGAGCCTCACTGTGTGCTGATGGGTGCTTGGGGCTTCTTCCAATATTATTTGAAGTTAGCCAATTTTTTAGATCCTCTGCTCGGTCAATAGTATTTGATGTTATTGTCTCTCATCATTGATGTACTGTCAGAGAAGGTTTTCCTCTTTTGTCTGGTTGGCCATGACAAATCCTGAACTATTTTCAGTTTCATATTCTTCTGCATATTTACTTCTTATAGCTCTCATTATTTGAGTCTTGAATTTAAAAGAAGCGCAGCATATCAACACATCTCTTGGAAAATGGCCTGGGACACCTCTCGGTTTATTTACGCTATGGCATCTATCGATTATAGGTATTCTGGCATTCTATTCCACATCTAGATGTTTGAAAAAATCTTCTATGTATGGCTCAAGGTTTTTTGCAACTACTTGCTCTGATATACCTCTGGGTCTTAAATTCCATCTTGATCTATCTTCCAAGTCTATCAGTTTGTTCTCCATTTCTGTTATTTTTCTTTCTAGTGCCAGATGGTTTTCTTTATGGACTTTTTCCTTGTGTTCCATCTCATTTAGTATTTCTTCTGTTCATGTATTCCTACATTAAGAGTTAACCATTCTTTCTTAATGTCCATGGTGTTGGCTTGTATTTCCTCTCTTAGTTTCTCAAATTGGGCATCCAGGTGTCTGAGTAGTTGGTCATATTCCTTCCTTCCCTCTCTTGTCTCTTGGTTGTCCTCCGTCTGTCTCTTATTGATATCTCCCTCTGTTGGGATATTTGACAGGAGAGATCCTTCCATATTTGTCTTAATACCTGGCTGCTGTGGTGAGAAAAAGGAGTGGAGTTTTTCTGTTTTATTTTCTGGTTTTCTTTCTTTTTTCAGATGTTTGCCCTCTTGGGTCTTTTTGTGGCCATTTTATTTACTTTCTCTTCCCCACACCTTCTTGTGTTCACTTGTGCCCAATTATATTTTTGCCCATCTTATTTTTTTTTTTTTTATATATATTTTTTTCCTTTTCCTACTTTTTTTACATCCCTTTATTTCCTTTTTTCCTCTTTGTTTCTTTTGTTTTTTTCCTATCTTCCCTTCCTTTTTCTCCCCTTTTTTTGCTTTTACTTTTTGCTTATCAAGCATACACTAACTTCCACTATTGATGTAGTAGTGGATTTAGTGCAGGAAGAGCAGGAAGTAAAAGTTAAAAACAAAATAGGGCCAGGGTACATGGCAAATAAACAAGGACAATGTGCAGGGCGGCTGGAAGGAACAGAATGGCAGAAATTGCAAGGGGTTTTACCCCAACCTGATTGGAACTATCAAGTAAACAAATCAACACTGTGAGCAAAATTACATAGATTTTAGATCCTTTCTCTCCATGGACCTTTGCTGTATAACTGACTAAACCTTTTAGTATTGCTATTTATGTGTTCCCCTGCTTGTTGTCAGCATATATTTGGTGTATTAAACATTTAGATGTCTTCCCGGGCTGTCACACTTGCCATTTCCTCCGGTCGTGGCTAGCTGTGTTGTATCACTCTATCCGGTAAGATTTTAGGTAGTTCCCCCTTTTTTTGACCCGACATCAGGTCCTGTTCAGTCTTGAGTGGGGATCCGTGGCATACTGTGGAGCTCAACCGTCCCATCGACTCTTGGTCGGCTCTTTGTCAACCCCTCAGCCACATTCCACGAGGACGTACGAACTCACGTTACATCATCACTCCACCCCCCCCGTGTCCCTCCAAGGTGATTATTAAGCTAGTAATTTAGTAAAAATTTTATATTCTATATTTAGCAATGCCAGGGGTGGACTGAGAACCCTCAGGGCCCCCGGGCAAAATAAATCAAGGGCCCCCTTACAGGCCCCACCCATACTCTGCAGCAAGTGCCACCCTTGTCCCGCCTCCATGCACTGCCTCCAGACACACCCTACACAATCTTTAGACACAAGGAACAAAAGTGCAATAATCCCTTAGAGGCCCCAGTAGAGACTACAATTGAGGGGTAATGGGCCATGGAGGGGGGTCTTTCTAACAGAGGCCATCTCAGCGTCCATTAGATAGCCCCTGCTGGAAACGGTTGCCTCCAGGCCCCAGTAGAGACTACAATTGAGAGCTAATGGGCCATGGAGGGGGGGTCATTCTAGCAGAGGCTATCTCAGTGTCCTTTAGAGAGTGTGTTAGAAAGAATCTCCTCCAGGCCCCATTAGAGACTACAATGGAGTCTAATGGGGCCTGGAAGGTGGTCTCTCCAACACTCTGGTTCCTATTCACAATATAGCAACACAACATAGCTCGCTGATACCTAGGCCAAGTTGGCTCCTCTTACCTTAATTACTGTTGCTGGCTGGCAGTCTGTGGGCTTGCTGGCTGCGGCTGGCAGGCTGCGGGCTTGCTGGCTACTGCCGGCAGGCTGACTGCGGCTGGCAGGCTGCGGCTTGCTGGCTGCTGTTGGCAGGCTGTGGCTTGCTGGCTGCGACTGGCAGGCTGTGGGCTTGCTGGCTGTAAGCCTGTGGCTTGCTGTAGGCCTGTGGGCTGGCTACTGGCCTGGCTGGCCTGTGGGCTGGCTAACTGGTGGCTTGTGGGCTGGCTGGCTACTGGCCAGCCAGTGGGTTGGCTGGCTGGCTGGCCGGCCTGTGGGCTGGCTGGCTACTGGGGCACTTGTAGATTATTTAAAGAAATAATCCATGCACAATAACCACTACTGCTCTGTGTAGTGGTTATGGTGCCAGGCCCCCTCCCGGAGTAAGTAGTCAAACCATTTAAGAACAGTTTGACAACTTACCTGGGGTCTGCTGGGATATGGGGCTGTAGTAGGGTATAGGAGCAGTGGTGCAATGTGTGTGAAAGGTTCAGTGTGTGTGTGGGGGTGTAGTGTGTGAATGTGTAGGGTGTGTGGGGCAATGTGTGTATGAGGGGGCTGTGTATGTGTGTGGCAATGTTAGCATGGGGGGCTGTGTATGGGGGCTGTGTGTATATGGGTGGGCAGTGTATGTGTGTGTGTGAGGCAATGTGTGTAAATGTGTATGGTGTATGTGGGGGCAGTGTGTGTGTATGGGGGGCAGTGTGTGAAGGCAGTGTGTTTATGGGGCTAGAGTTCACTCTCACCACTGCGACCACCAGGAATTCCTGGTGGTCACAGTGTTGAGAGTGAACTCTAGCCCGTAGCTCCAGGGCTAGAGTTGACTCTCGCAAGAGAGGTAACGTTGCCATGGTAACCGCGGCAACGCTCTGTGCTCACGCAAGAAGAACCCAGAGGAGCTGCAGGCTGAGCTCCCGGGTCCTCTCTTCCTCCCTCCCCTGCCGGCTGCCCGCACGGTGCCTGCGGACAGGGGCAATTGCCCCGTTGCCCCTCTGGATGCACCAGTGATATATACAGCCCTTCTGTGTGCCTTTTTGTCTCCCCCCGTCCCTCTGTATGTTTCTTTCTCCCCCTCACTGATCCTGTGTCTATGTCTCCCCTCTCCTTCCCAGTCTCTCTTACCCCTCTGCCTCTTTCTCCCCCTCCCCTTGTGTGTGTCTCTCCTTTCTCCCTGTCTCTCTCTCTTCCACTGTTTCTTTCTCCCCCTTTCCCTGTGTCTTTCTCTCCCCCACATCTCTCTTCCTCTCTGTCTCTTTCTCCCCCCTCCCCCATCTCTTTCTCCCCCTGTGTCTCATTCTTCCCTCTCTTTCTCCCCCCTCCCCCAACTCTCTATTCCCCTCTTTCTCCCCCTGTGTCTCATTGTTCCCTCTCAGTCTCTTTCTCCCCCTGTGTCTCATTCTTCCCTCTCTGTCTCTTTCTCCCCCTCCCCATCTCTCTATTCCCCCTCTCTCTCCCCCTGTGTCTCAAGTCAGAGGGGGCCGGCCGCGTTTCATGCTGGAGCTGCCGGGCCGGGTGGCAGCCTCGCCGGTCTGGCGGTACTCCTCTCACTAACGCTGAGGACTGAAGGAGGAGGAGCATGTCTCTCCCTCATGTTCTGTTGCGGTTCCCACATCCTGTGCTGGGAATTGTGATAACCACAGGGAGCATGATAGAGAGACATGCTCCTCCTCCTTCAGCCCTCAGCGTTAGTGAGAGGAGTGCTGCTGGACCGGCGAGGCTGCCACCCGGCCCGGCGGCTCCAGCATGAAATGTGGCCGGCCCCCTCAGAGTGTGCCACCCGGTGGCACCTTCTTCTGCAGTCCCCAGATGCCGCCCCCAATCCAGCCCTGCCGCCGGGCACCCTGAAGGCGGCCCAGGCGGCGAGCCCCCCTCACGGCCGGGCCCTCGGACCATGTCTGAAGTGCCCGACAAGTCAGTCCGCCCCTGAGCAATGCTATGGGCTTGAAATTAGGTGGGAAATATGTTTTCCATGTCATCAGTAAATGTGCAGCCACTTTTTCAGTTGATCCCCGTCAGCCAATGAATTTTCTTCTGAAGTGTGGATGAATTGATATTGCTAATGCCGAAGTGGAACTTCTTCTTCCATATTTTTTTTGCATATTAATAAATGCAAAGCATGGTGCTGGGCCACAAATTTCTGGGGAACCCTCAGCTTTTGATCAAGAACAGGATGATGTCAACCACAGCCTGACAGCATGCAGGGATTAAAGTGCCTAGACTGCTTATTTAAGCCTAAGGAGTTGTTATAATTCAAAAGAAAACATGTTGTTTCTTTTTTTTTTTTTTTTTGCACATTTGTTTGAGCTATGGTTTTTGGATAACTGATAATTTTTTGAGATTATCTCTGTGGAACTGATTTCTCATATTTTGAATGTTATGCCATCATCAATATATCAGCTCTGCTGGAATTTTTATAGTATTGTTATTTTATTAATTTCATGGCAGTGTCATCAATTGTCATTGATTGTATCATATTTTATTACTTAAGGAAAGTATAACCTTACCACACACCTTAATGTGTTGCATTTCCACCTTTAGAAGGCCTGGGCCACGCATCTCCAGCCACCCAGTCTGTGTCTTTGCAGTGTTTGCCAAGCTGTCTGTGTTCTAACTCTGCAGCGTCTGCTTAGACTCAACACATGAATCCCACATGACTCACAGCAGTATACTGATTCATTTTCTTTATGAACGAGAAGCTACTAATTGGCATAGACCATCAGCTGACAGCTCTAGCCATTCAGCGGTGCTCCTGTTTGGTGGCACTCCGTGCTTCCTGTAACTCAGATTCAGAATCCGGATGTCACCAAGGGGATCTGGAGATCAGAGCTGAAGGTAATCTTTGGGGTTAAACTGTTAAAGCTTACAGTTTAACCCCTTAAGGTAAGAGAGTGCTCAGTGACCTCTTGGCACAATGTCAATTAGATGGAGTTGTTATGGTAATCAGAGTGTTCCATTAAACTCAAAAAGGCACATTACGAGTGCTGAAACAGGCACCCCCTAGAGGTTAGGCGTCTGTAGGCAGGTGTCTTCTCTGACTAATAGGAAATCCTGTCTACAGAGGAATCTGTATAAACGTAGCGGCTGCATCAAATGTCTTATGACCAAGATACAGAGGGAAATAATCAACCCGGCGTTTGTGCAAATGGTGAGGTAAATTATACTTTATGGGTAAACTGTAATTTGGCATTACTCTGCAACACAAAATGAAATACACTGATCTCATATATGCATGGCATTGGGATGTAATTATTTAATTATTGCTTTGCAATATATGTTTTCAATGTTTTAGGAGATCTACTATATAGGACACAAAATATATATGAAATAAACCAGAGTAAAACATTTGTATAGTATAGTGTAGATAGACAGATAGGATGCAAGGACAAAAAAATAGGTAAACATTTCAACAAATAGTCAGTGCCCTTCATTATCTTTTGTTCATATCTGCCCAGCTTATTTCACAA